CGACCGCCTTCCGCCTCGCAGTGGGCGAGGCGGCGGCGCACGGCCTTCCCACGTCCCTCGACCCTGACGCGCCGGCGCGCGAGGGGAGGAGGCTCGACGCCGAGGACGAGGAGGAGGAGGCGGCGCTGCTGCGGACGGTGTGGCTGATGGTGCGGTGCGGGCGCGTCGCGGAGGCGCGACAGCTGTGCTGTGCGGCCAGCCGTGGAGGAAAAAGAAATCGATGCCCCGCCTTATTTCTTTTTTAGGCCCAGCAGCTGTGCCGGCAGTGCGGCCAGCCGTGGCGCGCGGCGACGCTGGGGGGCGGCGAGCCGTGGCGGTACGACTCCGCAGCTGGCGGGTGGGTTGGCAACCCGGACCGGCCGCTATGGCGCAGTGCGTGCGGCGCCATAGCGCGGCGGGCGCTGCAGCGGCCCGAGGTGCCGGCGTCGGCGCACGAGGCGGCGGCTTACGCGTCGCTCGCGTCGGACGCGTCGCTGCTGCACGCAGTCTTGCCGGTCTGCGGCGGGTGGGAGGATGAGGTCTGGGCGCGCCTCAAGCCGACTGTTGGCAAACACATCGCCGAGCAGCAGAGGCGCCTCTCCGAGATGTCGCCGAGATGTCGCCGAGATGTCGCCGAGATCTAGCCGAGATCTCGCCGAGATCTCGCCGAGATCCAGCCGAGATACAGTCGAGATCTCGCCGAGATCCCGCCCATGGCCCACCGCAGGCGCCTCTCCGACGGCCAGCCGCTTCGCCACGAGCACGCGCTGCCGCTGCAGGCGACCCGCCGCAGAAAGGACACAGCCACTCACACTGCCAGAAGAGCAACCAGCAGACTCCGAACAGCAGTGATAGTGATCGCGCTGGCCGCAGTATAGCAAGACCGTGCTGTGACGACAGTAAGAATGCGACTAACGCACGCACGCCCCGCCGCTGCAGCGCGTGCTCGAGCTGCTCGACGCGGCCGCCGAGGGCGGGGCGGCGGCGGAGGCGGCGGCGGCGCGGCGGCAGTGCGACGTGCAGTCGCGGCTGATCGCGATGCGCGGGCTCCTCCTCCCCCTCCCTTCCGGCGCAGAGGCGGCCGCGGCGGCGTTGGGCGCGGACCCGCTCGGCGCGGCGCAGCAAGCGTTCACCGAGGCGCGCGCCGCTCTCGTCCCCTACCGCCACGGGACCGAACCCACACTGGGTTCGAGACTCTGGGGGGTATGGTACTAGGCGCTCCGCCTGGCCGCCGGCGTCAGCGCCACCACATTGGCCGGCGGGGCGGGCGGGGCGGCCGCGTCGTTTGCGCTGGTGGCGGCGGCACCGCAAGCGAGCGGGGCGGCGGGGGGAGAGAGGGTGCGCTTCCACTCGCTGCGGTTCGGCGCGCACCTCTCGCTCTTCCTGCGGCCGGTGCTGGGCGCGATGGGGGCGGCGGAGCTGACGCGCGAGGCGGACGCGCCGACGCCGCCTTCATTTCAGAGGGAGGAGAACTGAAGAATGAGCCATTCCCGCTCGAGTAGGCGGACGAGCCGCTGCCGCCTCCCTGCTCTGCAGGAGGAAGGAGCCACTCACCACTCCCGCTCGATTAGGCGGACGACGCGATGCAGTCGCTGCTCTCAGAGTACGTCTCTCTCCTCGGCGCCGTCGGCGCCGCCGCCGTCGCCGCCGTCGACTCGCGCGCCGCCGCCGCCGCCGCCGCCGCGCCATTTGGGCCGTCGGGCGGCGGCGAGGAGGCGCCGACGCTGCAGCAGATGGCGTACAGTTTGAAAAGCCTCCGAATCGAGAGGGGGCACTTTCTACGTTAGGCGCCGACGCTGCAGCAGATGGCGTACAGTTTGAAAAGCCGAATCGAGAGGGAGCACTTTCTACGTTAGGCGCCGACGCTGCAGCAGATGGCGGCCGCCGTGTCGCTGCTCGCTCAGGCGCCCTCTCGTCCCCTACCGGCACGGGACCGCAACCCACACTGGGTTCGGCACTCTGGAGGTATGGTACCAGGCGCTCTCGCCCGACGAGAAGGTCGTCGACGGCGTCGCACAGACTGTTGACTCCCCGCTGACCATCACCCGTCGAGTCTGCGTGTGTATGGCTCCTCCTTCAGGTCGTCGACGGCGTCGCCTCCTTCCTCTGCAAGCTGCCGCACGACCTGCCGCCGGCGCAGAAGACGCTGTGCTTCGGCGAGGCGGCGCGGCTGCTGCCGCCCGAGCAGCGGCCGCTGCTGCCGCACATCGCACTGCGCGCCGTGACCCACCGGCAGTCGCTGCCTCTTCCGCCGCCCGCGCAGCCCGCCGCGCTCGCGGGCGCGCCGCACGCACACCACGCATGGATGCGGCGTGAACGGCGCCTCCTTCACCCCCCCCCCCCCCCGGCTGTGAACAGGCGCCTTGCGCGACACGCTGCAGTGTGTCCGCTGGCTGACCGTTCCGTCGGCCGCCGCACCACCCGCGGCAGAGGGAGGGGGCGGCGACGCGGAGAATGCGTGGCGGCTGGTGCAGGCGGTTGACACTCCGTAGTGAATCGACCACTCTTGATCCATTGCTTGGCACTCTCTAATCAATCGACTATTCTTAATCCATTGCGGCGGACGCTTGGCTCTGCTGGTGCAGGCGCTGTCGCAGGCGCTGCTCGCGCTGCGGCGCGCCGCCGCCGCGTCGAGCGGCCGTGTCGAGCTGCTGGTCGGTCCGTTCCTAGACACCTCCGAGCCATCTCCCAGACCTGTCTAGACATGACCCCCCCCACCCACCCACCCACCCACCCTCCCTCCCCGCACCCTCACCGCACCCTCCCCGCACCCTCCCCGCACCCTCCCCGCACCCTCCCCGCACCCTCCCCGCACTCTCCTCGCACCCTGCCCGCACCCTACCAGCACCTTGCCCCCACCTTGCCCCCG